CATGGATGTAATTATTTGGTTTTGAGATTTGATTAACAAATTAGCTGCATGCGCTCATCCCATGCTTTGATTGTAGGTACATTGTCCATGTTGGACTGCAACATCTTCCCTGGCTTGGGGCAGGAGTTTCTGGCGACTGAAGTCAACATGTTTCTCCTTCCTGTGCAGGAGAACGACGGGGAGGATAATCTGACTAAAGCAGGTTACAGAGAATTTATCTTCACATATGACAGAACTGAATTTTTGTCCAGCATATATTGTTCTCTAAGATGTGAATGAATCTTTGTACCATGTTTAGGGTCTGGAACATACCCACTCTTCTCTCTGCTCCCGGGGTACAGAGGACACCCTGCCTTCTCCACCATGGTTTCAAAACTCCGCAGCCAAATACTAGCCATGCCCCGCTGTCAGCTGTCACACACCATCCTCACTGAAAAGAACTGGTAAACATCACATTCTTCTCTGCCCACTTTCCATTTATTTCTACTGGGGATTGGGGCACGGGGGCACACAAGGTTTATTGTTTTTATTTGAAACATTGGGGTGGGGTTACTAAAAAAGTTGTAGTTATGCGGCTACCAGGAAGCCCCTCAAAATTCTATTTACTGTTAGACTTTCAGTTTGGCTAATAAAGCCACTATAATCCAGACTAAAGAACCTTTTAAGATAATCAAGACGTCCATCAACTCCTGATGCTGAGGAGATGATGAGAGAGAGAGAGAGAGAGAGAGAGAGGAGGAGGAGGTAGAGATAGAGACAGAGACAGACATATAGACAGAAGGACAGAGACAAAGGTGCCACAGCAACAACAGTAGCAACAACTTACACTAATAGTAGTGACTGATGGTGATGATGAAGAAGATGATGACGAAGACGACAACAGCCACAACGATGGGCACGATGAGCAATGATAATAGTAATAATAGTAGCTGTAGTGGTAATATTAATAATATTATCAGTAATAATTAGCAGTGGGAGTCAAGCAGGTCCATGGCAGGAGGCACCACCAGGAGACGAATAAGCACAAGAACTTCAGGGAAGGAGCTCAGTGCATCATGGGAAATCCTGTGATGAACTTCTAAATCGTGACGAAAAATCTTCAAAATAAGCTGTTGGCTATGTAGAAAGTCACACAACTGTTTGGCGACTACTTTCTCCAGAATCTTAGAGATGAAGGGGAGCTCTACCCACTGAGCTAACCGTGCGCCCAAGAGTAGGCTTTTTAAGAAGGGGTTTAATTACTTTACTGCTACTTTAAAGGACTGTGGTACATATCCCTACAATAAAGAAAGATTGATCATATCCAATAAAGAAGTGCCAATTAAGAGAAGTCTCATACATCCTGCTGTAAACACATGCCTGCATTTCCTATAGAATAAAATTATACATTACTTTGTTGAGACCCTGTCTCTCCTACTAAATGCCACCATGTGGTTTTAGGTGCAACAACTATTGGATGGAATGCCATGAAATGTGCTTCAGACATTCATGTTCCCCTCAGGATGAATTGTAATAACTTTGGTGATCCTCTGTCAGAATTATCTGAGCAGTACTTTGCTTCTGCTGTACTTTGTGTTTGGTGCTTATTAGCAAATGTTAGCATGCTGACGTGGCAAATAAAAAAACAAAGATGGTAAACAGTAGTAGGTCCTGTAGTATTATATGGGAAACCTAATTATCTGGCAACCCAGAGTCTTGTCAGGTTACAGATAATTTAACATTTTAAGCCGTTTATTGAACATGTGTATATATATATATATATATATATATATATAATATGTATTGTAATGTAATGTAATTATTTGAATAAATATGTATATTTATTTTAAGAGCCACCTGTTAAATGCTAACAGAAAAAGAGGTAATGATTCTGAATGTGTCAGAAAAACCGGCAAGGAGACTGAACTTTGAAACTGAAATGTATTTCAACACAGTATAACATCACACAATTCTCTTTCAAACACAAAATAACTTCCAAATGCACAATAACTTGCTCCTCTCCCCTGTCCCTGCCATGTCTCCCCGGAGTCAGAATCCTGGTCAGTTTAAAAGATGGAACAGAGGTAGTACTTGTGTAAAGTGGTAGTAAAGTGTGTGTTACTTGTAATCTGTTACTACCTTCCTGTGAGATAAACAGATATGTATGAAATATATTAAAATATCCTATAAAAATTTTAAGAAAATATAGATGCCATGATATATTGCAGGGTCTAACATGCGTAACGTAAGAGAGACTCAAGCATTGATTGAAATTTGTCATGTAAGTTATTTTGGATGACACCCAGCCCCTGCTGAAAGGAGCGACTGTGCTCATGCAGCTTCAGAAGTGATAAACCGAGAATCACTTGAATGCCAGTCTGAGGTTAACATTGCTCATCATCACAGTGATCACTGAGGACTTTGCAATTATTAAAGAGCCTGAATGCTATGTGAACATCATCTTAAGCATGAATACACTAAGGAGATCCATTTATGCATTATACATCACTATAGAGCACAGACAAGAAGGTCGTGGAAACAAATGTCTAATGAAAAGAAACCTTGTTTCTAAAATGCAAACTCACTTTCAGTTGAATGTCAGGGCTTCAGTGAAATAGTCAGGAATTGCATATTTGTCTTAAAAACAGTGATTTGAAAGTGAGTGAGGTAACAATAGATGAGGAAGAGTATAGTCATGAGGCAGTGATACTGTTGAAAATCAGATGAAATCAGTGTGAGCATGGTTTGGTGTGCATGGTGTAAGAGAATTTATATCCAGTTCATTCCTCTATTTATCACACAGATTAGATAAATGATGCATGACACCATTGTGTCCTGGAATTTTTAGAATTACAATAAAGAGCTCATAACTGCAACTACAGGTCAAAACATATGAACAGATTACCATTTTACATATTTTACAACCAGACTCCAAGCCAATAATGTAAATTGTTCTGTTCATTGTCATCCAGTTAGTTTGGTTCTGTGAACGCAGACATTTAATTTATTCATCTTGGATAAAGTGAAAAGTCTGAGTGAGAGGCAACTTGACTAAAGAATCAAAACCATAATCAGCTGATACTGATGCAATACTGATCATATGATTGTTCTTATTGATTGGCTGTGACTAAAGAAAACATGACGTTACTGCTACTAGACACTATTAAACAGTGTTATTACATGTAAAGGCTGATGGAAAAATGTAAAGATATTATAACTATTGCCAAAATCTCTTATAAAACAAGTCTGACTTCTCTAATTAGGTCTTACTTATAGAATTGATCTATATATCGTCTCACAGGTTCTCATGGATCCTGGTGGAGCCTCCTGCCATGGTCCTGCTTGACTGCCATTGCTAATATCACTGATATTATTGTTATTATTATTATTATTATTATTATTACTACAGTTACTATT